CGGCTCAGCCAATCAAAATCGACATCTCTACCATCTGACCTTAAAAGTCAACCTCAGAAGGGCTGAGCCAAAATACACTGCCACTAAAAAATAATAGTCTGAAACTATTATTTAACATTCCTTACCTAACCATAAAAAATTAATTTAGGAATTTTATTTCAACTGCATTATATTTATTTACCCAACCATCAAAAAAGATTCATTTATGAGTTTTATTTCAGCCATTTACTCTAAAATACACTCAGTAATTTCGTGTATGTAAGACGTGCTTCTTAAAATTTTTTTCCTTGGACCTCGGTCACATGACCACACGAGCATGCGCGTAAGCAATTCCGGCAAAAGAATGAAAGCATAAACAAAATTCTGATCATTTTTTTTTTTTTTTTTTACGCTTCAGAGATATTTTTTTTTAATCAAGAAACAGAATTTCGGACAATCGTTTGTCCATTCTTGATCACAAGCTTCTTTGAACCAAGGTCATCGCCTCAGACGCCAGCTTGGATACAAGTCACACCAAGAGTGAACTTTGACCTCTCCAATATCTTTTCCACGCAAGTCAGCAGCTACCATCTTTGCAATCCAATATTCCTGGGAAGAACAAAATTCTTTGCCTCTTCACTTGAGACCACACAAAATTTACATACAGTTTATTGAAAAACAAATTTACTGGTCCAAAATACACACAATACATGCCAAAAGCGCCACTCCATAGCGTGAACCCATTCCATAACTGAGCCACGTCCTTGCCACCTAATTTTCACACGTTAAATATACTATGATCTACACTATTCTCCCACTCACAGTGACACAGCACACATGGTTTATTATCACTCTGTTTATTCAAACAACCAATTAATTATTTTTTTCTTGTATATTCTCAGATTCACTTGAACAAATCTTCACAATTTTTACCACCATTAATTTCCTTTAGTTGCAGTTATTGCTCATCTGCCTTTGCGTGTCAAAACTCAGCTCGCACCAACTCCTCTTGCCTCTGGCTGCCCCTATTGGGAAAACAACTACACCCACTCAGTATCTCCTAACTAATCCATTACTGGCTCTACCGTCGTAACAAGGGCTCCTTCATCCCTTCGTCTCTATCGCAACCTGGCATCCCACAAGCCACCCGACCAACTAGGTCATCGGAGGCCTCAAAACTTGGCCTCGGGGCTAACTTAGGGTATTTTTATCCTACTAAATACTTCATGGCGCACAGGCCCCCATTCTACTCCCTATAAATCATCGGATCCCTAACTACATAGCTAGGTGTAACCATTTCCACCCCAGGACACAGATTCAAACACATTCGGAAATCAAAACTCATGCAAGCCGAATCTACTTTTATTCCCACAACAACTAGCTAACTTACTTTTCCCACAAAGAATTAATTCTCAACATTCACCAATTAATAATTCAATTAACCAACTAATGAAGGCAAAAGGACACACACGGCTCTTAAAATAAAGAAATAAAAATTCCACACTCAAAAATGAAAATAATAATTTGTCAGTTAATTACAATTAAAAAAATAATTCTAAACTTAAACCATTTGAATGCACGCAAAAATTTCAACTCATTAACTGTCCACAGATTTCACAGTGGGGATACCCCTTCACAAAATGCCGTCAGTCTTTCTTTTTCAAAACCATTTTCAATTGCGTTACGTACGCAAATTCAGGCCTCAGATCTATAAAAGTGTGTGATTTACATGTCGAATGGAAGCTACAAACAAGCAGATCTATGAAAGCGTGTGATCTATAAGGCAAATATAATCTACAACACAGATCGACAATTCGGGTGATTTACATGGCCAGTGTGATCGACAACAACAAAGATCTACTAAAGAGTGTGGTCAACATGACGAATATGATGTACAAAAGTGTACATTACACACTTCAGTAGAATTGCGAGTTTAGATCATATTGCTAAATGTAGATCACACAATGAAGTGGCACCAACATTTCTATGAGCTGTAAGATATAGAACGCTGTGGAGAGCCATGATCATAGTGAAGTTACACTACATACACAAGATGAGAAGACGGATAAACGCCAAATGACCGTGCTACCTTCGGTTTACGCTCTCGGATCAAATTCGCCGGACTTTTGTGGAACACCTGGTGTATTTATAGTTTTGTTTTGACAACGTTAGAAATTGCTAAGCGGTCAACGATGTTTGTCGTAAATAATGTTTTCTATTAACTTCCTCTTCCCTTAATAAGACACCTGATCTCGAATGAAATTTGCCCAGGAACATCTCTTGTTTTACTTCATTTTCGCCGCGCTGGGAAGCTGCTCTCCCGGGGGATTTATATCAAATATAGATGACAACCGACTGACACTCCCCAGTGAAAGTAATTGGATGCGGAATTCTATAGCTGCGTCCAGATGCAAGTTACTCATTGTTTATCAGGGAGCAACAAATAACATGTAACTGTTTCTTTGTTTCTCGAAGAAAGTTCTAAGATATATATATATATATATATATATATATATATATATATATATATATATATATATATATATATATGTTATAGTAAAAAGAATTTTTTAAAAACTTTATATATTTATATATAAAACTTTATATATATATATATATATATATATATAGTGTAACCGGATATAAGAGAAACCCGGATATAAGAGAAACCCGGATATCAAACGACTTCTTCTCAGGTCCCGCTAACTCTTTATATCCGGGTTACACATATATATATATATATATATATATATATATATATATATATATACATATATATATTATAGTAAAAAAAGAAACATTTTTAAATCAGTTAATTTATAATATATATATATATATATATATATATATATATATATATATATATATATATATATATATATATAATTGTGCGATGGATATATTGTCGTCTAAATTACGCAAAATGAAAATAATACTGACATCTCATTTTGACAGATATAATTACCAAAATTACACAAAAATATCTTGAAATTCTAAAGAATAAATTTATTCAATAAAATCGCCATTGGCTTGAAAAAAGGACACCCGACAATTTCGGAATCTCCCGCATCTCTTCTGGATGGTTTCCTTGTTTTAAGTTGATGAATGCTGTCATTATCCTTGCCTTTAGTTCATCTTTGGTGTTACAAGGAGTTTTGTTGGTCTCTTGCTTGACTGTGCCCCAAACATAATAGTCTGGTAGCTAGGTGGCCAGATGTAAGGTATGATGTGATTACATGCATATATATATATATATGTGTGTGTGTGTTTATACATTCTTTTTGTAGATACAAATATTTAAGTAAATGATCTGTTTATATTAAACAGTATTAAACAACATTTACTGGCCTGAATATCCGAGAAATTTTCATAGAAAATATTCGCCCTCCGACAGGAATAGGAACCGTCTAATAGCCCGACGTGCCTTTAACCGATTGGGCCACAGAGGAGCGTTTGGTTAGCAAGGCCGATTTTACTGTCTGTAAACCACAATCTTCCATGATTCTCTCACGTACATTCATATATATATATATATATATATATATATGTGTGTGTGTTTTGTGTGTGTGTGTGTATAAAATGTATTTTTTAATCTGACATATTTTCATTACTTCAAACGTTTTAGTGGATACCGTTTATTTATTAAACTCTATATGTTTTGTCTATCGACCTGTATATTCTAGAAATCTTACTGAAGCAAATATTCAGTCCGGTTGTCGAAAATAAATAAAAGTTCTGTTTATAAATAAACTGAGCTTAGATCTTTATAGACTTTATGAAAAGGGGGGGTAGGACGGCATAATGGTTAGCGGCTCGAATTAAGTAATCATTACATTCGCTTACGTGTTAATATCCCTGGAAAATGTACGAATCCAATTCTTCTCTCCCTAGCTATGAGTAAATAGTAAGACAGGCTGGTTTCTATAGCCTTGAGTGGCAACCCGTCTAGGAGAAAGAACAACTCTGAATTCATACCCCCTTGGAGAGGATTGGGGTCCGTCAGTTTATCTTGCCCAATGCACACCACTTCTATTGTATCTGCTGTACAAGTGGTGCCCCTACGACCCTAAAGTGTTAAGCGACTCGTGATCGTGACTAATACAGCGTCGTGCTCGGCATTTTTCTATCCAGTATCAATCTTACATATTTATAAGCCTACCATTCGTCCATATTTCGAATATTGCTGCCACATCTGGTCTGGTACTCCTGTTATATATTTAGAGATTCTTGATAAAGTCCAAAGAAAAATCCACAATGTTATTGATCCTGGTCTGGCATCTCGACTTACACACCGCCGTAATTCACTGTGACTTTTTTATAAATGCGTTCATGGCATTTGAGTTCTATGCTAACAGTTTCTTTTCTCGCAATTCTCGCTTGTGGAGCACTCTTCCGACTTTTTGCTTTTCAGTCAACTTTGATCTTCAAAAATATAAATACAATGTCAATCGTTATCAACTGTCTTCTTGATTCCCCTTCATTTAAAGATCGCCCCTTAATTCTTAATTTTCTTCATTCTTTCATTCAGTAACACCCCCACTTGCGTCTTAGTGGTTCTATTGCCTTGCTTGAGATGAAATGACGAAAATGAAAATCTTTACAATAATTCAAACACTATTTTCGCCTGAAAAACAGACGACATAACGTCTGTTGAAGGCAAGACTCTTACTAATTCCAATTCATCTTATTTATCCGAGTCATCCAAGTGATTTAAACGTTCCCCCTCTCTCTCTCTCTCTTTTCGCTCTCTCTCTCTCTTTAAACGGTGTCTATTAAGCCAGCCATTGTCCTTCTTGACATCATTTATAATTCTTTTCTATTTTTTATTATGTAGAACCACGCCTTTCGATAGCGATTCCCAAGGAGGGCGAGGACCTTTCACCGTTGAGAATAAGTCACAGCGGAGCGAGAAAGGAAAGATGATCTGACGAACTGTGAAGTTTTCTTAAAAGAGCATAAAGATTTTTTTGAACACTGTCGTAGTTTGTCAATTTTTATGATTTATGTGGCTACACCTGTGTTTACATGTTCATGCGCTTACGATAGATAGATAGATAGATAGATAGATAGATAGATAGATAACCAGACGAAAATACATAGAGACAGATAAACAGATTTAGATAGATAGATAGATAGATAGATAGATAACCAGACGAAAATACATAGAGACAGATAAACAGATTTAGATAGATAGATAGATAGATAGATAGATAGATATCAAATTGAGATAGATAGATATCAAATTGAGATAGATAGATAGATAGATAGATAGATAGATAGATAGATAGATAGATAGATAGATGAGAACAGAATGAGATAAATTCGGATAGAGAGAGGGAGAACCTCGACGTGGTGTAATGATTAGAAAGCCTACATCGCTAGAAGAATTGCGACTGAGTAGCGAGTTCGATCTTCACTGAGTACCCCATACTTTCGGCCTTGTGCCACATATAGACTACGCTTAGAAAATCAACATACTGATAGAGAGAAATAGAAAGGCAGAGTTTGTGTGTTGTTATATATACGCCATGTCGGTGTATTTCCGTTTGCTTCTGAGTACGTGTATGCATCAAATTAATGATTCAGACTCATAACGCACTATTCCTCTTTGAAAGAGAGAGAGAGAGAGAGAGAGAGAGATAGAGGTGGAAACTGTAAGTGTGTGAGTGAGTGAAAGAGAGAGAGAGAGATAGAGAGAGGTGGAAACTGTAAGTGTGTGAGTGAGTGAAAGAGAGAGAGAGAGAAAGAGGTGGAGACTCTAAGTGTGTGAGTGAGTGAAAGAGACAGGTGGGCAGTGTAAGTGTGTGAGTGAGTGAAAGAGAGAGAGAGAGAGAGAGAGAGGTGGAGACTGTAAGTGTAAGAGTGAAAGAGAGAGAGAGAGAGAGGTGGGGACTGTAAATGTGTGAGTGAGTGAGAGAGAGAGAGCAAGAGACAGAGAGTGAAAGTCTGTGTGTTAATTTTCTTTTATGCCTTGTTTGCTTATCATTTAAATTACAGATACGAGTATTCTGTTCTAAAATGCTGATACGATTACTTTTGCCTGATTGTTCACCTTATCATTTGAACTGAGGTGCCCGGCCCTGGGGAACAGCTGTCCGAGGCCGCGCCTTCTCATTGCACTAGAGAGAAGGACCGGTAAACACGCACCGAGGCCAGCACAACCGACGGTTGCGGGGTCTCGGGGAATTTTTGTTCCTTACCTCGTGGAGGGGAGGGGGAGTAAATATCTACTCATTTGAACTGATCGTCTCTGTCAAGGTTGCCAACATGGTTAACACATGACTGCCGCTTTTATCCGTATAGTAGCGTGCAAAGATATCATTATCTTCTCTTCGCTTTCCATGTGATGCCCGTTGTTGTTTCTGCAGTCGAAACTGATCAGGTGATGTTGTTTTTGTTATTTGGTTAGGCACTTTGTATTTCGTAACACCTGTGATGAAGAATCAGGCGAGATATTCAGTGGATTGCCTTCTAATTCTCGCACTGCTAATCCCCAACATCCAAGGAATCGCTTTCAACATTTTTGGACATTCCGCTTTCTGTTTCCAGAGTGTGGATTGCTTCCAACGGCCAGTTTTGAAGGCTTGCCGTCAAATCCTTACCTGATCTCTTCTCATTGAATTATTACTGAAACACTCCGTGTAATCATTGAAATCTTTTCTGTTGAAGGATTTCCAAGTTTCAAGCAGTCTTTGATACATATTCGCTGAGCATGTGATGGTCACACATGCTCATTCAGGGGTGTATTACCTGCTAAGCAACTTTCAACAGGAGTATAGGTTAAACTCTCGTCCGATTCACACTCTTCGTACAGGTTTATCCCTTGTTTCCTAATTACGATCCCTTGTAAAGTTTTTTTTTTTAATTATATTTCACTCCTAACAACCATTTGAAGCTTAGTGGCACTATCGCCTTCTTTGTAATGAATTGATTTAAAATTAATTCCATGCTAGAGTACCTGTTTACATGAGTACAGTAAAGTGTGATTCGATAAATTATCAACTTGCAACAAACCCACGGGACTGATTCTTGTGTCAGTGCCATTGTTAAACAATGTCGTCAGAATCGGTGAAAAAAAAAAAGAAATACTTCGATGAGTTTGACATTACAAACGAAAAGAAAAGAACGAGGATAAGTGAATATTTTCTAAAATTCTGGGTTTACATATGCATATAATCCATCTATCATCGTAGTTGTCTTGAACATTAATTCAGATGGTGTAATCAACGGCTTTCTAATTCAGATGGTGTAATCTACGGCTTTCAAATTCGGATGATGTAATCTACGGCTTTCGAATTCCGATGGTGTAATCTACGGCTTTCTAATTCAGATGGTGTAATCTACGGCTTTCCATTTCAGATGGTGTAATCCATGGATTTCTAATTCCGATGAAGTAATCTATGGCTTTCTAATTCAGATGGTGTAATCTGCGGCTTTCTATTTCAGGTGGAGCAATCTATGGATTTCTAATTCAGATGGTGTAATCTATGGTTTTCAAATTCAGATGTTGTAATCTACGGCTTTCTATTTCAAATGTTGTAATCTACGGCGTTCCAATTAGGATGGTGTAATCTACGGCTTTCTAATTCAGTTGGTGAAATCTATTGATTTCTAATTCACATGGAATAATCTTTGGCTTTCTAATTCAGATGGTGTAATCTACGGCTTTCAAAATCAGATAGTGTAATCTATTGATTTCTAATTCAGATGGTGTAATCTATGGCTTTCTAATTCTGATGGTGTAACCTCCGGCTTTCTAATTCAGATGGTGTAATCTACGGCTTTCCAATTCAGATGGTGTAATCTATGGCTTTCTAATTCGGATGGTGTAATCTACGGCTATCTATTTCAGATGGTGTAATTTGTTGCTTTCTAATTCAGATGGTGTAATCTACGACTTTCTAATTTCCATGGTTTAATCTACGGCTTTCTAATTCAGATCGTATAATCTATGTCTTTCTAATTCGGATCGAGCAATGTATGGCTTTCTAATTCGGATGGTGTCATCTATGGCTTCCTAATTCAGATGGTGGAATCTACGGCTTTCTAATTCGGATGGTGTAATCTACGGCTTTCTAATTCAGGTGGTGCAATCTACGACTTTGTAACTCGGATGGTGTAATCTACGGCTTTCTAATTTCCATGGTGTAATCTACGGCTTTCTAATTCGGATCGAGCGATGTATGGCTTTCTAATTCAGATGGTGTAATCTATGTCTTTGTAATTCATATGGGGTAATCTACGGCTTTCTAATTCGGATGGTGTATTCCATTGCTTTCTAATTCAGATGGTGAAATCTACGACTTTCTAACTCGGATGGTGTAATCTATGGCTTTCTAATTTTCATGGTGTAATCTATGGCTTTCTTATTCGGATGGTGTAATCTACGGCTTTCTAATTCAGTTGGTGTAATATACGGCTTTCTAATTCGGATGGTGTAATCTATGGCTTTCTTATTCGGATGGTGTAATCTACGGCTTTCTAATTCGGATGGTGTATTCCATTGCTTTCTAATTATGATGGTGAAATCTACGACTTTCTAATTCGGATGGTGTAATCTACGTGTTTCTGATTTGGATGGTGTAATCTACGGCTTTCTAATTCAGATGGTGTAATGTACGGCTTTCTAATTTTGATGGTTTAATCTACGGCTTTGTAATTCGGATGGTGTAATCTACGGCTTTCTAATTCAGATGGTGTAATCTACGGCTTTCCAATTCAGTTGGTGTAATCTACGGCTTTCTAATTCAAGTGGTGCAATCTACGACTTTCTAACTCGGATGGTGTAATCTACGGCTTTCTAATTTGGTTGGTGTAATCTACGGCTTTCCAATGCAGATGGTGTAAACTCCGGCTTTCGAATTCGGATTGTGTAATCTACAGTTTTCTAAGTCGGATGGTGTTATCTACGTCTTTCCTCTGATCTCTGAATTTTTTGCATGAGATACTCTCCGGCCTTCCCGGGTGTCTCCAAATGTCTTGCATGAAATACTATTATTATTCTACGTATTATTCAGTTAAGTATCCTGGCGTTTTTTTTTTGTTTGTTTGTTTTTTTTTTTTAATAATTATTTTGAACAATCTATTTCGGCCGGTATAATCTTCGACCAACTTGAGCGTCTGCAAATTTGTTTAATGAAATACTATTATTATTCTCTGTAATACAAGCGTTTTTTTTTGTTTTGTTTTTTATTTTGAACCCTCTGTTTTGATCTTCGGCCACCCTGAACGTCTCTAGGTTTATTGAACTACATACTATTATTATTCCTTGTATTATCCAAACATTTTTTATATTTTGAACCCTCTATTTTGGCTGTTATACTCTTCGGCCTTCTTGGGCGTCTGTTGTATTGTTATTCTACGTATTACTCAGACTACAATCACGGTGTTTTTTTATCTATTCAGCTTGGTTATCTTTTCGCCTTTGCTGAAGTTTAAGATTCTTACTTCATTCTTTTGGGACGAATGTTCTAAGATTTATACGCAGAATTACCATATTTCGGCTGATGTGCTCTTTACCGTTGCTGCCTAAAGTTCTTTAATCTTCTTGCAAAGTCAAATTAATATGATTTGTAATGTTATCAAATTTTAATGTACCAAATATCGTGCCACTTGGAATGTTTGACGTCCTTTAGCGCTGATAGTGGGTAAATGCTTTGGTTAGACTCGGAAACTAGACTCAAAGAGTTGTGAGTTCAGTGCCTGGCCACGGTAGTGGTGAACATAAACTAGGAGAGTTGAGTTAAAGGGAGATAACTAAGGCATCCGGAAGATGCATGGCACGTGGAACTAGAACAATCTACCCCGGTGGACGAAATAAATGGTTCAGTTCGTAAGATCAATGACCTGAAGAAGCCGGAGCATATAACGGCCGAAACGTCGTGAATAGAGATGAGTAGAACAGTCATAACAATATAAATAATGTAAATAATTACAATACCTCATCTCAGAGATATAGACAAGTAATGAAGAATTATTAATATTTTTTGCTTTGCTTATTCTGACCATCATGCTCATCTTCGTTTTTATACTAACAACGGTTCGGCTGTTGTACCCTCCGGCCTTCTTTAGGCATATGTTATCGTAATCAGTAACCTTTTTGGGGAATTTCGAGCCGAACACTTTATTCAATCCACAGAGGGAGACTCTTCTTATTCCGAACTCGATGCTTAGAGAATATTTCAGTTTGTCTTTGAACAGCATGTCCTTTTCTTCCACAGTGACTTTCCATGATTAGCGGATATTTCATATTAATAGGTATACCAGTCATATTTCGCTTTGTGCTGAAACGGTGTGTGAATAACAACCAAGATGAGGATGCTAGTCTGAATAGCAAAGTATTTAATATTCCTAAAAATATATACACAGTTATTAGCGGATTTAATAAAGATAAGAAGACCCCCACGCCAACTGCAACTACCTATCTTTCAAGTCGTCCTGTGTATGACGATAAACTACATCCGGCAGCAAGGCCTCCGATCGGGAGATTTCAGGTTTTCAGGGGCGTGGAACCACCTCTTAATTGCTGTTGTTCCTAGATTAACCCTGGCCCGGGGTGGTAGCACCTGTTAGGGTCTCAGCTATAGACAAATAGTGAACCCCCCTAAACAAAAGTCAACAGTACATTTTTATAATAAAATGACCAATACATTTTTATAGGAAAAGGGCAATCAATGCAACACTAAAAAAAAATACATTTTTATAGTAAAATTACCAAGAATACATTTTATGATCTACAAACTATCTATCTGAAAACGTACCTTTACCCTGAGAAAATAAAATTATGTAGAAGATATCTGTAGTTGAAGGCATAAAATTGCGTACGGAATATTTAGATTTCGACATGAAATAACCCATACAGGTTGATATGCCGCTAAACAACTTCAGCCAACCTATTTATAGTAAAATTACCAGCAATACCTATTTGTAGTAAAATTACCAACAATGCATGTTTAAAGTAAAATGTCCAACAATAAGTTTTATATGTAGTTGAGGGCACACAGTTGCGTTCAAAATATATTTAGTTGAAGCCATAGAATTGTGTTGAAAATAATTTGATTTCGGCATTAAGTAGATCATAGGGGTGTTGATGTGCCGGTAAACCAAATCAACCAACCAAAATCTTTCAAGTATCACGCACCAATATTTGTAAAAGTCTGAGCATGCGTATTTTTGAAAATTTGTCCAAGAGTGTGATGATGTGAATACACACTTATGGAAGAGAAAACGATATAT